CAGTCATACTTGTGATTAAATCGGACATCAAACAATCGCAGATTCGTATATACTGTACAAATATATGTCCGATAAATTTTTGTTTGATTGTGCCGAGCACTACCAATTGGAATCTATAAGTCCAATGTTCCAATTTATAGGTCTAGTGTAAAAAAGTTGGTCTAATTGTCCAACACTGGTTACAGCTGTTCTCAAATTCTGGGACAACAGAAAATTTTCTAATACAGTTACCGAGTCGGAATAAATAAATGATCGACTTCGGAAATTTATCCATCGGCATTTTTTTCAGCTGTCCCAGAATTTATTTAAGCCAATTATTAACAAATATTCAGAAATAAACTTATTTTCTTATTTTAGTTTACTGCATAATTCTGTATGAATTTCAGTATTATCTGTTATCAATAGAAGTGTAATGCCTATACGTACAGCAATTCGATTGCATATTTTTCTGAAATAAATTTTAAATTGTAATTAAAATTCACAGGTATCACTTTTAGTATATAGTTAATGATAAGTGCCGGAACCTTTGACTAGTATTATTAAATTTCCTGGGAGCATACAACAGAGATTCTCGATGATCATAGGATACAGATGACCCGAAGGGCCGTCTGCACCATATGATCATAAGGAAATTCATGAATAATAATACCTGCATTACGTTGTCATGCCTACCTTTATTATAATTTTCGTGTGACCGGGAATCTTCCCTTGGAAGATTCCCGGTCATGATATGATCTCGTGGGAATTATAATGAAGGTGGACATGAACAACAAATAGTAAGGCAGGGTATTATATAAAATATCATCACGATCAGGATGTCTGCACCTATAATCGTTACACGATATCAAATAACGCGAGCAAGTTAGTACACTATAATAGAGTTACGTAATCAAATGTTAACCATTTTAGTTAAAATATGCATCCAAAAATGGAGTACCGATATTTCATAAATGCTCGTGTGATCTCTGCATATAAAAAAAAATAGCGCTAGCGGTGACTTGAGAACAAAAATGCCAATTTCTCAGCTAAGAGAAAAACTTGTCATCCCTGATAAAGAAAACTATTCAATAAAATCTTGGTTGAGTAGTGTGGGAAAGTTGCTTGACCAGGTTGGTTAATGTTTTGTACAAAACGAGTAGATGCTTTAGTTTTGCTGCTATTAATTCTTTCAAGACCAATAGCAATCTAGATCCTAATTTTTATACTTTAATCTTTTGCTTCAATGTTTTTGCTTTAAATATTATCGTTTAGGCGAAATTAGCCGGCGAAAGGGGTGATTTGGAAGTGGTGTATGTCAATAACGTTAAAGCATCTTCGTAAGTTTTAAATAGAAATTTACTTACCAACTTGAAAGACCGAACAGAAGAATTCTAATACTCGATTCATAATAATAAAAAGTATCATTTTAGAAGTTATACCAAAACATAAGGAATATGGGAACATGAATGGAAAAGAAAAAAAGGACTTCTCCGAATTACGTAATGTACGCATATATAATATAGTTGTTTATTTTCATTATTTCTAAGTTTATTCGCTAAACATTTACATTTTATAGGGAATTGAAGGGGTTTTAGCAAAGGCTGAAGAAGCAGGAAAAAAATTAGAAGAAAGTGAAAAGGAAAAAAATAAAATAAATAAAAGTCAAGGAAACGAGACTACAGATAATTATATGCAGATGCCAGAACCTCATCCTACACCAGAATTAACCTCAAATCGATTATTGAATAGTACTAACTCCTTACAACAATCATCACCTCTTTGTACAATGAATGACAATATTGGCAGTATAACATCTGGTTCTAATAATTTAAAAATTACAAACATACAAAATGAGATTACCAAAACTAATAATGTTACCCCAAAACAAACTATTTATCCTCAAACACCACCTGGCTCCGCATCGTCTTTTGAAACTAAGTCCTTGATACATAAAAAAAAATCTCCATTAGATGATTTACCTACTTCCGGAAAAATAGAGGCTAGTTTTTTGCGTGATTTGCTTAGCATAACCGAAGGTCCGCCGCGTATATTAGTGTTAGACGTTAGGAATAGGGATGAATTTGATTATGGACATATTAAAACAAAGAATATAGTTTGTTTGGAACCTATCATTTTAAAGGATGAGTAAGTTTAAAATATTTAAGATTCACCTATATTCTTTTTTATGAATGATACGCAAATTTTTAATCTAATTATTGTAATCTCATTAGAATATCATCTATAAACCTTGAGTCCAAACTAATAGTCAGTCCTGAATTTGAAAAAAAACTTTTTGCTGATCGGCATAATTTTGATTTGATTGTATATCATGATCAAGATTCCAGTTTCATTCCCAACTTTACTTTAAATAATAAACATGCTATGAAGAATTTAATTCAAGCAATTTGCAAAAGTGAATTCAAAAAGCATTTGAAAAGGGATCCCGTATTGTTGAACGGAGGTTTTAATGCATGGCATAGATTGGTAGGTGAACCTGGTATTGAGCGTAATATTAATAATAATACTCGAGCAAATCAACGTGACAAAGATGCTGACCAAAAGTATGTATAAAATAAATCAATATCATTTAAGATTTATATGCATTTAAGATTATTATTTATTATTCATATGTTTTAGTCCTAACAGCGCGTCTAATTTTAAACATGTTAAACGCAATTTTTTGGATTTCGTAAGTAAACTTTTAATGCAAAAAAAAAAAAATAATAATTATTGATCAATGATTAATTATATATATATTTTTTATGAAAACCATTCTTAGTTTCAACAACCTTATAGTTCGGCCCAATCTATGACGGAATCAAATTATTCATCAAGTTCTGCAGGTGGCATACTGTATAATAATAGTTCTATATATAGTAATTCACCAAACACAGTTTCAAACTCATTGATAACTGCTACAAACAAACCAATACCGCAACCTCCAACTTCTGTTTCCGCTTCTACTACGACACAGTCAGGTAGTTCCTTAAAACGTCGTAAAACCGTATTTGATCATCCATATCATGGCTTCAGTGAGATAAAAAATCCAGAATATGCGCCTCCGTTACCACCGAAAAAACATGAGGTTATTACATCAACACCAGCATCTACAAACAGTTCAGAACAAATGGCAATGCATAATAAATCATCCTTAATTTCTGATCAAGGTCACCATCGTTATCCTCAATCAGAAAGTAGTTTTTCTACGCTAGGGTCCTGCATTGGTATAACGGGATTAAAAAATTTAGGCAATACATGCTTCATGAATTCTGTTCTTCAGTGTTTAAGTGGGACTTTACCATTCGCCAGATACTTTTTAGATGGTAGTTTCAGACAACATATTAATAAAACAAATCCTTTAGGTACTAAAGGAGTTTTAGCTGAAGCATTTGCAAAATTGATACGAGTGATGTGGAGCGAACAATATAATTTTGTTTCACCTGTGACTTTTAAAGAAGCTATTGGACGTTTTGCACCGCAGTTCTCAGGATGTGATCAGCAAGACTCTCAAGAGTTCCTTGCTTATTTATTGGACGGCTTACATGAAGATTTGAATATAATCAAAGATAAACCAACAATTAAAGAGTTAACACCTCAGGAAGAAGAGGAAATGGAAATGCTACGACCACAGATTGCGTCTGAGATAGAATGGGAAAAATATTTGATGCGTAATTCTTCCGTTGTTGTCAGCTTATTCCAAGGCCAATTTCGTAATAAATTGACATGTTTGACATGTTATAAAACATCTTCTACATATAATGTTTTCATGTATCTTTCATTGCCTATTCCTAAGAATATCAAAGATGGAGAACCGGTTGATTTGAAAATGTGTCTTAACGATTTTACAAAAGAAGAAATTTTAGAGGGAGACGATGCCTGGAATTGCCCTAAGTGTAAATGCTTTAGAAGAGCGAATAAGCAGCTTACCATTTCACGATTACCTGATATATTATTAATTCAACTTAAAAGATTCTCATTTGATGGGCCTTTTAGAAATAAACTTGAAACAAAAGTGCATTTTCCTCTAAGAAATTTAGATTTAACTTCTTATGTGCCCACACCAATACCACAACCTACTCAGATTGGTTATATACCAAAAATGGATATTCCTGGTACTGGTGGATCGCGTTATAACTTACAACAAACGGGACCTTTTATATATGATCTATATGCAGTTTCGAACCATTACGGTGGATTGAATGGTGGACATTACACTGCGTGCGTGCGAAATAGGAACGAGTGGCACACCTTTGATGATAGTCGTGTATCAATATGTGATAAACAAAATGTTATGGTATGTTGTTATTGGTTTTTCCAATCAATTTTAATATATTTACATGTACTAACTTTACATTTTTTTAAAGACCCGCGCTGCGTATAGTTTATTTTACGTACGGACGAGTATTCAATAGATATATATCATTATTTTTTAAGTTGCACAGTAGGAATGTGAACTCCTTTAATAATAAAAACTTTAAGATGATATTATTATTATTTTTGTTTTTTTTTTAGTGAATAGTATATTGTATCATATCATTTATTTCCAAATATCAGACAATTTTACGCCATTTTTGGAGAAATTTCTCGAAGTTTTTATATTTTGATTTTCTACATATTTCCTTGGACAATGAATAACCCTTTCCTTAAAATTATATTGTATTATATAAGAATGGACATGAACATTTTAAAATACAAATGATGTACAGTTGTCTTCTCATAATAAATTCGTTGTTCATAGCAACTCTTAATTGAGCCACCTTTTTCGCATCCGATACAATTATTATCACCATTCATTTTTTAAAATCTTTGTTTCATTCTAGAAGAAACAATTGCCAGATTCGCATTTACCTTACCGGGCGGACTACCTAAAATCAAAGAGACAATTGCATCCCGAGCAATTTTGATATTTTGAAAAGATCCTAGGATATGAATTGACCTTTTTTGTAAATATTGAAATGATGAATTAGATTTACCAGCTGAATAAAAGATATATATATATATTATACATTAATACATACGCGTCAGCCAAAACAACTCTAGTTTTTGAAGCATTTTCGATGGCGAATTTTACTTTCCCGTTTTTACCAGCAATGCGACCTATAGCGCGAGATAAATGGTCACCTTCCAGTGTTTTAACTAAAATTATAGGTAATAATTAGTACTTTACAAATAATTTTCTCAAAAATTAATTTTTTTTTTGAAAAAAGAAGTACCATCTTTAATATCGAAAGAATCAATATAAAGATCATCTACACGTAATATGGCAATCGCATCCTAATTTTTTATCAAACATTGTAAATGTAAAAAGAGATATGCGAAAAAAATTAATCGGATTAGTGAAAGAATTAATGACACATTACGTCAACGCTAAATCCTAACATGAAAGCTTTAATAAAATCCGCAGCCTTTTGAATTGATCCTGAATCTGTCGTATATTTAGATGTCTAGGATTATGGCAAATGAGTCAGTTTCTGTAAATAATACCTTTTACAAGACTTTGTGAAATATTAGAAATACCCTTAATTCGACACGTTTGGATTTAAGATTCATTCTAATTTGAAGATTCAAATGTTTTACAAGAGGTTCATAAATTTTTTTCCATTCTTTTAGCAAAGGAGCAAAACGGTGTCGCGGAACGGGAATTTCACGAAATTGTGGAGAACCATTCTGTTAAATTACAATCGTTATGATTTGCCCTCGAAGATTTATAAGTATTAAAGAAAACTATAAAGACTTACTCTTAATTCATGTTTTTTAGCAGGTCTAAATTTTGGTTTACTACATTCACTGATGTTGTTATCAACTACCATGGCAGATTTTTCGGGTTCAACCTCATTACTAGTAGTTTCTTCAATTTGATTTATACTGCAAATTTCTTTCTGTTGATCATTATTATTAAGAACAGTTTTGGGAACAAAGTCTGGATCAATTATCATAGACTCTTCTGAACTAGTTTGCATTATGATTATTTTTGATTGACTCCTAAAAAAAAATTTTTTTCGAGTTTTATCTGATATATCACGTGAAATGGTTACATAATTCATAACGATAGACAAATTTTTTAAAGTCAGCAAAGTTAATTCTTATCATTAGAATTTACTTTGATATGGGAAATTCAAGAGCTAAATTTTTATATTTCTTATACGTTATGGGCCAAATTCAACTTATATGGTTGACTCTAAGTGCATTCCTATGAGACTATATGGGTGAAATCTCATTATCATTGTACCACTATAAGAATTAGGGGTACATATCACTACGATGATATTGAGCGAAATGATTCACATATGGTAAAAAAAGTAGGCCCAGCACTTAGAGTAAAATAGAAATTGAAGATTTAATTGATTTCATCACTATCTCAATTATAAAAATTCGTAAAACCAATGCATGAAAAATCATCAAATCAACTTATCCCAGAAGCCGTACATAGCTCTCTGGAATCTTTACATTTACCACTTATCCAAAAAGAGCAACCTAACTATGAAACTCTTTGCACTATACTTCAAAAATTTGAACACCATTTTCTCGATAGACAAGCTAAACCTATCTGG